CATTATTGTGTGGACCATGGTCCACACAAGTTGTGTGAACCATATTTTGTCTACTGTAAAATAATGTACATTCAGTAAAAAAAAATAATGTACATTTAATACAAAAATAATGTACATTGTATTCAGGAGATGTACATTATTTTTGTTCTGAGTGTACATTATATTGTATAATGTACATTCAGTACAAAAATAATGTACATTTAGTACATTAAAAATGTATTTTTGTTATGGTCCACATAACATTGTGTGGACCACGGTCCACACAATAATTTGACGCTCCAAGCTTCCTTCTTTCCTTAACCCAATAGAATTCCATTATTCTTACTGGGTCAACACCTCACCCATAAAGATGGACACCCCGCTTTAGCGGTTGGACCAAACTTTCCCAATAAAATGGACCCCCAAGATCCCATATCCCCATCACAAGTCCCCCACTTTCTTTAGGCATCTAGATGCCTGAAGGAAGTATAATTCAATACCACCACCTTCTCCCTTTTCCAAACTCAAATTCTCGTTCCCAAATTTTCCAGATACTTGTCGTTCCCCCACCATCGTACGCTGCTGCCACACGCCATCCTCGCCACTGCTACGCGTCATGCCATTACCGCGCGCCTCTGCCGCACACCGCACGTCGCATTGCCTGCTTCATCACCTAGTTTCGAGAGGTCAAGGTGACCCCTCCATGTTGTGCTTCTTGAATGTTTCTTGTATTGGACATTTTCCTCGCTACTTAGTACTCGACTTCATTTGAATATTCACTGGATGTCTTTGCTGCTTCACATTGTTCTCCCTTGCTGCTTTGTTATGCGCTATTGATTTCTCCATGTTGTACCTGCTACTTTTTAATGCTTTCGCCATAGCCTTCACCCCCTTTGGAGGGAGGGATTACCTTTCGCTTGGTGGGCTGAGCGCCCTCTCAAACTTGTATACTGCATGCCACAAAAATGCCCGCGGACTGCCTACCCTGCCATGCAAGCCCGCGCATGTGGGTTGCGATAACCCACATGCCCTAACCACCAGAATGCACACAGACTGCCTACCCTGCCATGCAAGTCCGCGCATGTGGGTTGCGATAACCCACATGCCCCAGCTACCAAAATGCATGCGGACTGCCTACCCTGCCATGCAAGTCAGTGCATGTGGGTTGCGATACCCATATGCCCTAGCCACCAAACTGCATGCGGACTGCCTAGTCCGGGAAGTCCACACATGTGGGTTGCGATAACCCACACGCCCCAGCCTCCAAAATACATGCGGACTGCCTAGCCCGTCAAGTCCGCACATGTGGGTTGCGATAACCCACATGCCCCAGCCACCAAAATGCATGCAGACTGCTTACCCTAACATGAAAATCCGCGCATGTGGGCTGCGATAGCCCACATACCCCAGCCACCAATTGTACACGGACTGCCTACCCTGCGTTGCAAGTCCGGTACTCGATCATCCGAATGGTCGTAAGGCCAGCATGCATAGCACATAGGAGCACATAGTTTGGGAAAATAGTTGAGGTGGCCATAGGCCAAGCATGCATATCACATAGGAGCACGTAATTGAGGTGGTCGTAGGCTAAGCATAGCACATAGGAACACATAGTTGAGGTGGCTGTAGGTCAAGCATACATAGCACATAGGAGCACATAGTTTGGGAAAATAAACATAATCTTTACTGAACTAAGTGTAAAAGTGTACTCACCAGGGTAGCGTCTCAATATCCTAAGTGTGTTACCTCGTAGGGTAGCTCATCTTGCGAATCAGTCATTTGGGCGTACCTCAGAATCTTGCTAAGACAAATAGAGACTATAAACACGGGCTAATCGTAGCGGTCCCCACAAACGGCGTCAATGATGGTTTTATAGAGACCGCGTCCACCATAAACCAGGTATAGAAATATAGAACGGAGGGTAGGCAAAGAATAACTTTATTACCCGGGACGCTAGGCCCAAAATAGTACGTACAAAGCCCGAGGTACATACCCAGAATGGCGGCCCAAGGAATGGAATAGGGCCCAAAATAATAACTAAACAAGCTAAGGGAACTAATAAATGAAATAAAACTAAATATGTTACCGATAGGGCTCGAACCCTGGTGTGCTAGCAGAGGGTTGAAGACTCAGATCAATGGACTGGAAGGGGTTTGGTGAGCCAAGGGATGCCTTTAAAAGGGAGGGAAGGACGCCTATTTATACTGTTGAGGGAGTCACGGATGGTTGACAAATGGACAGCATCTGACAGCCATCATTCTGGACCACACACGTGTCCCCCCATTACCTTGCTTCCGGCGCACTCCCATGCATAAGTGAAGTCTGCCTATTACAAATTTGCTATAAAGTATTACATTTATATTTTATATATACTATAAAATATTATTTATATCTTACAATTTTACTATGTAATTGCATTTTATTTATGCAAATTGTCTATTGTAGTTTTCCTATAAAGTACTACTTTTTGTTATAAAGTATTATATATAAGCCTTAAAGTATTTTTATATCTTCAATATTGTTATGTTATTACTTTAATTTATTTAAGGCAAAATGTGCATTACATTTATACTATAAAGTATTATGGCGTATATATAAGGCTTAAAGTATTGACCATATATGCAATTATGTTATGTTATTACTTTATTTCCGACAAACTGTCTATTACAATTTTGCTATAAATCACTATATTTATGTTATAAACTATTATAGATAAGACTTAAATCTTAACTATAATAGAGTTAATACCCAAAATAGTCCCTCGACTATGTCGTAATTACCAATTTAGTCCTCGACTATCATTCTTACCCAATTAAGTCCTCAACTATACGATTTTTACCCAATTTAGTCCTTTGTCAATTTGACTATTTGTTGACTGTCAAAAGTGGAAATAAAGTTGTAATTTTACAAGTTTTCTTCTTCCTCCTCATTTAGCAGCGCCAAACCATGTAGCAATAAGCTCCGGTTAGGTTCTAAACCTGTCAGTATCGAAGTAGTGGTTATGCATCGGATAGCCCATGAATTTGATTTTCAACAATTTTTTGACGATCGAAATCTGATCGGAGTGTATTGCTGCATGGTTTGGCGCTGCTAAATGGAGAGGAAGGAGAAATCTTGTAAAATTATAATTTTATCCCGACTTTTGACAGTCAACAAACAGTCAAATTAATACAGATGACTAAATTGGGTAAGAATTGTATAGTTGAAGACTAAATTGGGTAAGAATTGTATAGTTGAGGACTTAATTGAGTAAAAGTTACATAGTTGAGGACTTAATTGGGTAAGAATGGTAGTTGAGGACCAAATTGGTAATTATGGCATAGTTGAGGGACCATTTTGGGTATTAACTCACTATAATATAGCCATATGGTTTGGTGAGCAATTATTGTTACACTTATTATTTTGGTGAGCAATTATTGTTACAATTATTATCTCTATTCTTATTATTATTGTATTCTTTAATTTTTTAGATCTTGTATATTATTATTTAGAAAATGGTGATGATGATTAATAGTCATTTGTATTTATAAATAATTATTTGGTCTTTAAAGGTCAATTGTATGTTGTTACATCTAGAGTTAGAAATCTCAAAGATCTAAAAATTTTGATCCATGCTAACTCTGAAAATTGTAATTCAATTACTATTGTAGTTTACTAAGTTCTTACAAATTTGTAATATTAAATACTATGTACTAAATTTTTAATATAGTTTAAGATTTGTAGTAATCACCCACCTTAAATATCAATTCTTATTTTAATTGTAAATATATTTATGTTCATAATTTAATCATAGCAATTCACACATAATTATTAAATAACAAAATTTTTATATATGAATAAACCTCATATAGGGTATATTTTTATAACATATTTCCCGTGCATAGCACGGGACAAATACTAGTTATTTATTATATCAGCAACTCTGTTATGCTATTACTTTATTTCTTGCAAATTCTTTATTGGATTTTTGCTATAAAGTATTACAATATATCTATGATATGCATAAAGTATTATATATAAAACATAAAGTATTGATTATGTCACCAATTATGTTATTATGAGCCATTTTTATTATATCTGACCTGTCTCACAGATTGAGATCCGTGAGACGGTCTCACAAGACACTGGCTATTTCGGCATTGACAAAAAAAATTGTGAGATAGTCACATTGATCCTTCTCCGTGATATTGGTTGGGTTGTAGACAACTAGGTGAGATGCTCAATGTTGGTACACTTTGTAAGAATTACAATTTCAGTTATAAATATTACAACACTAATCATTAGTAACAATCAATTTTACCCTAAATAGTATCATAATATCACATATATGTATTACAATACCCTAATATGTATTACAGTATATGTATGAACAGATACTATAATGTAATAGAGCTAGTAGCATGCAAAAAAAAAAAAAAAAAGTATTACAATATCTATCATAAATACTGATTTTTTTATAATAAGTATTACAATTTTTTAATAAACAACATTTTACATATAAGTATTACATTATTTATATTAGAATTACACTTTTTAAGTATTACAATTTTAGTTATAAGTTTATTGCAATGTTTATTATTAGTAACAATTATTTACCCTAAATAGTATTACAATTTTACATATAATTATTACAATATCTATTATAAGTAACCTTAGTTTATTTATTTCAAATTGGTATTAAATTTGTTAGAATAAGTATTAAATAACTATTTTAGATTTGATCATATCTGTGAGATGGCATCACACAAGTGTGACTCTACTCTTGCCATTTAGTGTGATTTGATTATATTTTTCTGTTGAAGGTATTACGTAGCACGAAATTGTGGTTTAGAGCAGTTATGCGCATAATGGCTTGATGGCATGCACGAATAATGGATAGCAGTCCAAAGTTGTGCATATATACTCAGCATCGTGCATATACGACGGCGCTAATTAAGTTACACACTAACCATTTGAGATTCATCATATAATGTGGTGTATAAATTAAACATAGAAGGTAGAAGCCTAGCAAGCTGTGTGTGTATTACTATCATATTACAAGCTAAGAGAGAATCAATTGGGATTGAAGATAGATATATAATGAGGTTGTTGGGTGCGGCGGTGGTGATAAGCGTGGCGGTGGCGGTGGCTATTAGCGCCGCTGCCGCCGACGTCTCGTTCGATGCCAACTACTTTGTTGACTGGGGGAACAATCATGTCACATCCTCTGACCAAGGAAGAGAAATTCAACTTTTAATGGATAAATCTTCTGGTCAATTAATTCCCTTTCTTCTCTCTGTTAGCTAAGCGTGCGTGTGTATATATATATATATATATATCGAAAGACTGTGAGACTCAACATGAATGCACATAAGCTACTATAAAAATGCGCATAGACTAGAGTGCCTGTGATTTTACCCTTTGTCCTACATGAGTGAACACAGTGCGTGTGATTTTACCCTTTGTCCTACATGAGTGCACACAGTGCGTGTGATTTTACCCTTTGTCCTACATGAGTGCACACACAATCTAGTTCATGTGCATTTCCATAATAGATTGATGTGTCTTACAGCCTCATGGGAAGATTTTATCTCACTGAAACATTAGCATATATATATATATATATATATATATATATATATATATAAAGGGTGGGAATGAATGAGGTGCGGTGGGGAGAGGGCAGCCGCCCCACGGTATACAATCCGGCCTTGGATGTTATGCCATGTGAGAATGGACCCTATACATACACTGCTGGAAATTATGAAATTTTCAACCACTTGAATGTGATCTTAAATCAAGTCGAAAGTCTTGTTCCGACTAATTTTGGTATCCGAAAAAATCTTTGTTGCTATTTCTGACTATTTTTTGCTTTCAGCTTGATTTAAGATCACTTTCAGGTGGTCGGAAATTTCATAATTTCCAACAGTGATAAAGGGTGTGGGGAGGGGCAGCTGCCCCACGATAGTCGGTAGACGTTTCACCTTTGAATATTATGCCATGTGAGAATGGAATTTGTAATTTAATATTAAATTTAAGAATCATATAAGTTTTTACTAGATATGGACGTATAATGCATGCATGTATATTCAGTAATTAATTTAATTTGTTGATTGCATATATATATATATATATATATATATATATATATATATATATATATATATATATATATAGGGTCTGGCTTTGCATCAAAGTCCAGTTATGGATCGGGGTGTTTCGAAATAAGGATGAAGGTACCAGGTCATGACACTGCTGGAGTGGTTACCAGTTTTTATGTACGTAAGCTAGCTATCTCAAATTTAATATACAAGCTATATATATATATATATATATATATATATATATATATATATATATAGCACTGTTGTGTGAGCTTGCTAATTAACTTTACAATCAAACATTACAAAATGTTCCAATTAGGAAATTATAAAATGCACAACCAGACATCACAAATTGCACAATCTAAATGTAATTATAGAATTGTAAGCTAGTTTGCGGATGCATAATTACTTATCCGCGAATGCACAATTTGCATGCAGCTAACTTCAAATACTGAAGATAGGCACGACGAGCTGGATTTCGAGTTCTTGGGAAACCGAGAGAGGAAACCAGTTACGTTGCAGACTAACATCATGGCTGAGGGTGTGGGGAATAGAGAGCAAAGGATTTATCTCTGGTTTGATCCCGCCGCTGATTTTCATTCCTACAAAATCCTCTGGAACCAACACCAAATTGTGTAAGCAAGCTTAATTAGCTAGCTAGCTAGCTTCTGTAGGTCTTAAATCTGATCTGAAGAACTTGCATGCATGCATGCATGCAGATTTTACGTGGACAACATCCCAATCAGAGTGTTCAAGAACAAGGAGAACATTGGAGTTAGGTACCCATCATTTCACGCATTGCAGATTAAGGGAAGCTTATGGAACGCCGAAAGCTGGGCAACCGATGGGGGCAAAGCCAAGATCAACTGGTCACAAGCGCCATTCAAAGCTGAGTTTCAAGGATTCAACGTCGATGGCTGCACCGCCGATCCAAAATCAAACGATATTAATCGCTGCTTTTCACGTGGCGCCTATTGGTGGAACTCTAAGAAGTTGTGGTCATTGAATCGTGAAGAGCGAGTACAGTACCTGAAAGTGAGGAGAAATTTCATGCACTACGATTACTGTGCCGATCTGCCTAGGTTTCCTACCCTTCCTCCAGAATGCAAGAGGCATTAATTAATAATAATGTAATATTATTATTAGCTTCACTTCACTAATATATAATTAAACATCATCTTAGCTTGTAATAGCCAACATCTCTATCTCATCCATCTAATAAACATTTCAAGTACTCCCCTACTTATATTTATTCACATTCCTATTACATCTTTCTTCCCATCCATTCTTGTATCACATATATACTAGGGTAGGCTTCGTTAAGAGACGAACCACTATAAAAATTTTCTTTCTCTTCTATTATATTTTTGAATACCATCAAGATCAACCTAACGTTTTGAACAACCAAACTTAACGTGCAAACAACATCTAAAAGAGTTAAAACAATCATTTCCATTGTGCATTAAAACTCTGAACGTATTGTTAAACTTGCCCCATGGGTAGACTTAGCGTTGGCAAAAATTTTTACAAAATCTCAGCGAGTCTATTCACCCCTCTAGACTCGCTCCTAACCCTTATCGGGACCAACAAGTATGAAGTTGATTGTTGTTTTTGCACTCAAAGCATTGAGTTGGTTCTTGTAAAAATATGATGCTATCTTAGCTTGTTTTTTTTGAAGTAAAAGGGATGAACTTGTAAACTTGATCATTATGTATATTTTGTAATATTATGAAACTTGTTTGGTGTAATATTATTATGGTATTTGCACAATTGTGTATTTTTTTTTTTTTTAATTTGCAGGCTTGCAGCTTTAGGAAAATTGTGATGAATAGCTATTGGGCAATTGTGATGAGTTTTATGAATTTTTTTGAGTTCCAAAACCATATTTAACACCAAATATTTGTAATAATATTATAACATTATTATAATATAATAAAATATGTAATTATAATAATGTATTTTATAAATTCTTAATACATTTATTATCATTATTATTGTGTAGGGGCACTTAGGTCTTTACACTTATTATTCCTTACAATTATATTTCAAATCCAACCAAACAATTGAATCAATATTCCCGTAATTTCTTTTCCACCAACCAAACAATGAAATCATTTTTCTAGTAATTGCTTTTCCAAGAAATTTCAATTCCATTCTCCTTCAATTATTTTCCACGAACCAAACACTCCCTAAAAGTTTTAGACTTTGGACATTAAAATTATTATTGAATATTTTAAAATGTAAATTAGTATTTATGTATTTAATTATTTTTATAGTGTATAAGTAGTACAACCTAACAACTTAAGAACAAAAATATAATAAACAAACAAACAAAAGAGGCGGGGGCGAGTTGGCAGGTTAGCCTGCAAACCTGGGTCGAGGCCAGCATATCCCAAGCCTGCCAAGGAGCATGCCACCCAGTTGACCTGTTTTGATAGCTCTATTAGCATGTCTCTAGTTCAATTCCCCTTGTGGCAACTTCTTGAGATAAACAACATCAAACTTTTGCAACAAGTAAATAATTGAACTAGGAAGTTCTCGATTAATGAGATCAAGTCTAGTGCAAGTCTCTCCTAAAAGAAGTAGAGAGATAGGTTGTCCGATCCTTTCATGATCTCTCTCCAATTCCTTTGCACTCTTCAATTTTTCCATGTTCTCGATTTTTTTTTTATCATATCATTTGCTCTTTTTTTTTTTTTTAATATGCCTTTCTTGCTTACTCATCTCTTTTGTTTTCTTCATAACTCTCTTTTTCCTTTGAGTTCTCCAAAGCAGTGCTAGATTTTTTCTCTTTGGGAGAATAAGTCCTACATCAGCAACTTACCAAATAAACGGCAAAATTACTTTGATTGATATTTTAAGTATGTGAAATTTAATTATTATTTTTTCATATATTACATGAATTTCTTACGAATGGAATTGCCAAAGTGACTGGGGTGTAATAGGATGGGGCCTACCGGGTAAGATTGCAAACGGTTGACAGATTTGACATTTCTTCACGTACTCCAAGCAGTCAGCCTTGATGCAGTGTCAGTAGTATCCTTGCAAGATTACTTTCGTGACGAGTGTTTTTTCACCCTGGTGAGCAGCGCAAGTACCCTCAAGCATTTTTGACATCACGTGCTCAGCTTCCACCTTGTGAGACACCTCAACAACGGCCCCCCAAAAGACAATTTAAACAACTTGCCCTCTATCATCCGATAGGAGGGGGCCATTGTTACCACCTTCGTATCCGGGCTGGATCATTCGGAGTAACCCCTCTAGTTTTATACAGGATCATTTCATACATCTATTCGTCTTGTGTTGGAAGGATGGCTAGCACCTCGTCCTTCTTGATACTGGGGCTATATCGACTTCTATTATCTAGGCGATTCTCAAAATGTACTCTAAATGTTCATCTATCTGCTGCGTTAGGCGAGATAGGAGGTCTGCTTCTGCATTCTCCGTTCTCGGAATCTGCTGTAGTTCCCACTGTTCCAACTCTGCGAGCAATTATTTTACTATCTCTTTGTATTGTCTCATTCTACTTTCCCTGGTTTTGAATAGATCGTTGACTTGCCCTACTACCAACCGGGAGTCGGATCTGAACCTCAGGCGGCACGCTGATAATGCTTTCGCGAGTTTTAATCTGCAAATTAAGGCCTCATATTCCGCCTCATTATTGGACAATTGGAAATTGAAACGGAACGTCCAATAAATTTTGAACCCTTCGGGTGATACCAAGACTATATCTCCTTCGCAGCCTTTTCCACTAAAGGCCCCATCGGTGAACATTTCCCATTCCCGCAGGGGTATCCTCTGTCCTTCCATTATTTCCCCCGAACCTTCTTGAGTCGTGCATTCCACTATGAAGTCAGCTAGGACCTGCCATTTGATGGCCGTTCGGGGTCTATACTCGAGGCTGTACTAGGTGAGCTCGATGACCCATTTTACCATTCGCCCAGATGATACTGGATTCCTCATGACCAAGCCGAGAGGCTGATCCATCAGCACCACCATGTGGTGGGCTTGGAAATAATACACCAATTTCTTGACTGTCAGTATTAACGTGTATACTATTTTCTCCAGAGGGGTGTACCTCAATTATACATCGTGCAGGGCCTAATTGACGTAATAAATGGGCTTCTGGATGCCGGCCTCCTCTCTCAAGAGAACCGAGCTAACAATCGCCGAAGTTACCCCAGATAGACATACAGAATTTCCCCTTCTCTAGTTTTGATAATACGGGAGCCGAGGATAGATAATATTTGAAATGGTCGAACGCTTCCTGGCATTCAGCAGTCCATGTGAAGCCCTCCCTCCTTTTCATAACCTGGAAAATTTAGGGACTTCTCCACCAATTTAGATATAAAATGACTTAGAGCCGCTAACCTTCAGTTCAATCTTTGTATGTCTTTGACTTATGTAGGGTGTTGCATGTTCAGGATGTTATGGGCTTTCTCGGGGTTAAGTTCTATCCCCCTATGAGTTACCATGAAGCCCAAGAACTTTCCTTCTTTTATTGCAAAGGTGCACTTCTTTGGGTTCAGACGTAGGTTGTGTCATTTCATGATTTCGAAACATCGCGCCAAGTATTTTGGATGGGTTTTTGCTTCTCTGCTTTTGATGAGCATGTCATCGACATACACGTTCATTATATTGCCCAGCAAATCCCTTAATAACTCACTACCATTCAGGTGAAGGTAGCTCCTGAATTTTTCAACCCAAAAGCCATCACCCGATAGCAATAGACTCCATCCAGGGTCATAAAGGCTGTTTTTTCCTTATCCTCCTCTGCCATAAAAAACTGGTGGTAGCCCTTGAAGGCGTCCATAAAACTCAAGAGTTCACACCCAGCTGTTTCGTCTACTAGCTAATCAGTGCGTGGCAGCGGGAACGGATCCTTGGGGCATGCTTTGTTTAGGTCTGTATAATCGACGCACATTCGCCACGCTGGGGGGTTTTGGGGCCAAAACTACATTAGCCAACCATTATGGGTACATTGCATCCCTTATATGGCCGATGGACAACGTCTCAACCTCCTTCTTTATGAATGCCCTTCGCTCGGTAGACAGATATCGGCGTTTCTGCTTAACGGGCCTATATGTGGGATCCACCACCAATCGGTGTGTGATTATTGACCGATCCACTCCTGGCATATTATCCTTAGGTCCCCAAGCAAGCACTATCGCGTATTTTCTTAATACCTGAATAATCTCCTCACGAAGATCTTCTGTGAGACCCCTTCCTATCTTTACCTTCCGGTCCAGGTAGGAGGGGTCCAACGCTATTTCTTCCCATTACAGAGTTGGCTCTAGGCCCTTTCACAATTGTTCCTTTTCCATTCCCTTTTCCACGCCATTTATGGGTAACTATTCATCCCCCATTCTCCGGCAGGCTTTCCGATAACATTCACGAGCTAATTGTTGGTCTTCGCGAACTGTACTAACCCCCGTAGAAGTGTGGAATTTCAGACATAGGTGTTCCATCGACAAGATTCCCCCCACGTCTACTAACCCTGGCCTTCCTAGGATGATATTGTGAGCGCAAGCTATCCTGGCAACCACAAAGTCCATTTATATTTCTCTCACGTTTGGGGGGGACAACTAGTTCCACGGGTAATCATATGGTCCCTTCAATTTCAACAGTGTCCCCGGTGAATCCAATGAGTGGAGTCTTAACTGGCTGGAGTTGGTCTTAGGCTAATCTCAGTTTCACGAATACATCGTGGTACAACACATTAACACTGCTCCATGTGTCTACTAGGACTCGCTTCATTAGTGTTCCGCTTACCCTCATTGATATAACCATGGTACACTAGGACTCACTTCATTAGTGTTCCGCTTACCCTCATTGATATAACCATGGCGTCTTGGGACGAAACCTCCCTGCTTGGAAGGTTGCTATCCGAAAAGGTGATGTTTTCCCGTCGTTGCCTTTTTGGGATAAGTGTCTCTCCTCTATCGACCCCACATACTCTTTCTCGACTCCCGAAGAAGACCATCCTCCAAAAATCACATTTATTTTTCCTTTGTCCCCGGCTTCATTCACAAGTCTATCCCTAGGGGATTTGGGAGATTAGGACGTCAAGTTGTTTCTCTCTTCTACACATTCCCAAGGTACATCCTGTTCCAGTTGATTAAACTCCCTAGTTGCCCCGATTGGATGAGGGCTTCTATCTCCTTCCTCTAGGCTTAGCACTCATATGTACTGTGTCCGTATCGACAGTGAAACCGACAATATTTTTCCGATTAGAGGTCGAAACGTCTCGACTGTGCTAGTTAAAGACCTTGACTACCTGACATTCCTTAGCGTACGCAAGGATTTCGCTAGGACGTGCTTTGAGGGGGTGAGGGGGACTACGAATGGGGCTCTCATGGCAAGATAGGGTGCTCATGGAGGAGGTACCATGTGAATTCCGATCAGGTTCTGGAGGCCGGTATCTGGCACGGCTTTTCCTCTCCATACGGAATTGTTATCTACCTATGGGCTCGCCCCCTCTTTCTTAATTGGTTCCTCGGCTCAGGGTTTCTTCCCCGTTCCCCTTAAGCCGGTTTGCTTCCTCTACATCTGTGTATTTGTTCGCCTTCGCCATAAGAGCGGCATAAGTGCTCGAGGGTTTACGTCTTAGACTTTTATAGGGCTCCCTAGCCCTTAGAGCATCTACGAACATAACGATGGTTGATTTATCATCTATGTCCTCTACTTCCGCCTCTTCTGCTCGCCAACGGACTAAGAATCCTATTAAAGATTCCCCTACGCCTTGTTTCACGGTGGTGAGATATATAAAGTGTTTTCAACCCTGCTTACCTCTCATGAAGTGGGTAATAAATTTCACAGCCAGGTCGTTGAAAGAGTCAACGGTGTTACCCTTCAAGAGTGTGAACCACCGTTAGGCTTGCCCAAACAAGGTTGAAAAGAAGGCTCTGTACATCACGACCTCTAAGGACCCCATTAGCATCATGATGCCCTGATAGACCATGATATGTTCTTGTGAGTCACCCAAGCCGTCAAATTATTTGACACTTGGGGGCTTGAAATTGTAAGGGAGGGGCTCTCTCACGATTCTCCGAGTGAAAGGTGGGGTTACCGTTATCTTAGCCTCTTAGGCGTTTTCGCAAGATCGTCATGCTCTTTCCATTGGAATAACTTAGTGATTTTAGCATCTATCTTTTTCGCCCAGCCATCGGAAGGGGCAACCTTCGTTTGAGAGCGGCACGCGCACCTACTACGAGATCCTTCTGCCATCAGGGTGCGGTATGTGATTTCGCTTTCGGATTCATTGGCAGGTCGGGGAACCTTCTCAAGAATTCTATTTCCCCATTCAGATCCTCGATCCAGGGGGGCTGGGGGAGCCATCTTGCCTCCATGCTAAGCACGACTTGGGGCGAGCCTTGCCTCACGCCAGAGTTGCCAAGGAACAGGGACGCGGGATTTCGCTTTAGGGGCCCACCTATAACGTTGGCGACCCCGTGATATGTAGGGGCGACCTCTACCATCGGCGGGGTAGAGTAGACCCTCTTGGTTCCTCTATTGGCCCTTGCGATACGGGCTAGAGCACCCCCAGTTCTGAGGGGAGTGGGACTCGCCTCTCTAGATTCTACACCTGCCCACCGGCCCCGCGGGGTGAAGATCTGCTCTGTGATCCGGCCATTTTGGTGACTTGGGCTTACACGAGAATAGATAGAGACTAGGAACGTACGCTATTCGTAACGATCCCCACATATAGTGCCAATGATGGTTTTATCAGTACCGGGGTCCATTATAAATCGGGTAAAAAAATATAAAATGGGGGTAGGAAAATAATAATCTTATTATCGGGGCTTGAGGCCCAATAAAATGTATACAAAAGCCCAAGAATGGCGGCCCAGTGAATAAATAAATAAATAAATAAACTAATTAAAGGACTAATAAATAAATAAAATAAACTAACTATGTTACCATCAGAACTTTAACCTAGGTATACCAACAAGAGGGAGGAGACTAGAACACTGTACCAGAAGAGTAACTATGTCTTATATGGACCAGACACCCTCCTTTTATACTGTCAGTAGCCATCCCAGGCCTGTACGTCAACCATAGCCAGACACGCGTCCCATGCAGTCCTATCTATCAACTACTTCAACCGCCCTATCCAGCCACTAAAGGCCGCGCGACATCTCAGCCAAACCCCTTGCGGACCATCCGCAAAGGGCACGCACTATCGGAGGGCGGCTGTCACGCCCTTCGCATGCCCAGTCGCCTCGAGTGGTGGCAAGTCCACCAGCCACCCCGAGCGACTGGACACGCCACCAGGGCGCCGAGGGGTCTTTTCTTCTACCTTGCACCCTTCTTTCTTGGGCCTTGCTTTGCACCGCATAATTCCCAATAACCCCATCAATATTGTACATGCCTTGTCTTCCACCTTGCACCCTTCCTTCCTAGGCCTTGCCTTGCACTGCATAATTCTCAATAACCCCATCAATATTGTACATTGAGTAGACAATATAATCTACGGAGTACTTTTAGTATATTAACACCCCGACATAAAGAATCTATACACTTTATTAACACCCCGGCACAAAGAATCTATACATTTTAGACATAAATAATAATTCACAGTGCCGTTGTCGAGATGATTCAAACCTTAGTCTCTTCTCACAAATATTGTCTATTGAATCAGTGAGCTAAGTACGTGTGACAATGAGTCGAATTTGAAAATAACTAAACGGATGGATATTGTATCTGTTACCATGCCTACTAGGCTATTACGCATAAAGAGCAATCAATTTTGGGCGTGAGGAATAACCGACCCGTTTGTAAATTGTTAGTGAGATGCTCATATGGAACAAGCAGAATAAAATCTCTGCAAAACCACATCGAGCTCTCTCGTCCCCAACCCTGCGGTCACCCTCTCACCGGAATCACCATTTCTGCGATCATCGCTTGCATCTATCTGTATTATTATATTATTTATAATATATTCGCTACCTTCAGATATAGGGTTAGGGTTTCAAGCTAGGAATTGAGTGTTCTTCTAACTACTATTCGGGTCGCTTCATAAATAATCTGTACAATGTACGCTGATCGAGTGGAGGCTGGAGCGAGGGTCTCAGTAAGGGACAGGCTCAACGGCAACGCAGTCGGTGGTTCTGCTCGCAGGCGACAGATCACTGGCAAGAGGTTCCTCTCTCTCTCTCTCTTTCTCTCCCTCCAAGACGCTTATCTCCCTCACCCCCTGTATGTATGTATGTATGTATGTATGTATGTATGTATGTGGCGTTTAAGGATGCATGACTGGAGAAATTCTGCATGTAGAAATAGTTGCCTTACAATCCAGCTCTTTTCTCCAGTTGAAAGTTTCGAAATTTGAATGTTTAAATGGTTTTTATTTATTAGAAAGTTCTCTTTTGCTGCTTCTGATATTAATTTGAGTTATAATCCATTGTATTAGCATTTAGCCTGGGGTCTATGATGTGAGGGAGTGGTTACCTTAAAATGGATTTCGTAAATGGATACTCTGAGATTTTCTTTTCTGTTAGTGTAACTTCTTTTTATAATCTATTTTAGAGAAAGAGAGAGAGAAAAAACAAAAAAAAAAACAAAAAAAGTGCAATGGTTTTATTCTTTCTTTCAGCAGACAGCTTAAGAAAGTTGTTGGTGCAGACTCAGGGAAGACGATGACAAATGGGAGCATGACCTATATGAGCCTGATGAACCTCAAATATCAAGTATGTGCTGATGAGAAACTGTTTTGTTCTATTAGAAGATTCTCCTATTGAATGTATTAGGAATGATTTTTGTTTTTGCTTTTCCTGCCGTGGATAAGCTTTTGCTATTATCATTGCACAGGTCGCAAACTTGGTGTAAAGGACCTTCGTCTTAAGCTGCAGAAAAGAAGTAATCAAGAAACTTCACAAAGTCTGAACAGATCCGTGTCAAGAGGTATGAGGGATCTACGGGAAAAGCTCTCTGGTACAATGTATTCTGAAGCAGGAGAGGTCAATCCATCTAAACCAAAGACAAATCCAGCACCTGAGGTCAGTAAACCTGTTAGGAAAAGTGTCATTGCTGAAGCTCCTGTATTGGAAACAAAGAAAGTTGCCAGCACAATTTCTAAGAAGAAGAGTCAGCAGAAGGCAAGAATATTCTTTTGTTATAATTTTTTAATATTATTAATGTGAATATTTGTCCTCCAATGAATGTTGTTTAATGATATGATTTTTTAATAACATAATAATATAATGCTTATGTTTTCTCCTGAAATTCACTGTCAAATTTTATGAACTTAATTACTTAAATTTTAATGTGCTGTTCACCACTTCACCTGTTTGTGAAATGGTCTGAATTTTAGGATAAACTGTTTACATGTCAATGTTGCCTGGAGCAGTGTCCCATCACTACTGATTGGTTGTACTGCCATGTACCTTTCAGCATTATTGAATTTTCATAGATTTTCTTTAACTTTTGTGTCCTATTTCTTTATCTACCACATAATTTACGAGTTTTTCTCCAGAAAAGGCTAACTAAGTGTTTAATGCTCCTCTTAGACTTTTAAAATTTTAGATATGGAGTATCTTTTTATGGAAAACTACATGTTAACTGTATGTTGTGACCTGCAGTGTTGTGTTCTAGTAATACTAACAAAAGCTAAATGTATATTATCCAATGAAAAACTTGTTGTATAGTGCTATTGCTGAACTTTTTTTTTTCTTGAGAATTATACCTATGGTGACAACTCAATCCCTAAGTTTTGGGCGTATCTAAGTTTGGCCCCTTAATTTTTACGGAAATGGTGCTTTTGGTCCCTAACGTTAGGGATCCATACAGTGTTAAATTTAAGGGGCTAATAAGCAAATTCCTTACCATGGTCAACGCTTATTGTGTACTGGAAATGTTTTCCTTGTCCAATTACACAATTACAATCACTAGGAGCCCCTAGGTCTAGGGGATTTTACCCTTAGGTAGACATTAGTCGGCCGGCTGACTAGGCGGTCTAGGCGCCTAAGTCAGCCAAACTTGGCTCCCGAGTCGTCCAACTCGACCAAGTGTTTTATTTTTTTTGGTGTGCAATGTGTACACCTTCTGTGTTTTTCTTATTATTACTACTCGCCCAACTAGTGCCTAGCACCTTCTACATCATTGATTACAATAACTCTTTCCCAAAATTGAAGAGCGCTAAAACCCTAACCCTCAAAACACTTATGTGAGTGTGTATTTAGGCGAATTCCTCCTGGTCATCGGCTTGTTTGGAGAAGATAAAGATGACTTCAAGAACATTGTTGGGCACAAACAGACCTCCATACTATAAGTGTTGTAGTAATTTTTACATTCTATTGAGCACCAAGAACAAAGATGAGGAGGCAAATCATTGATAGAACGACGGTGGCGAAAAGCACGAAGAGGATGGCGAATGAGTTTTCATACCAAATTTGGTGTTGGCTATCGTCAAAATGTCGTCGTGTGGGTTAAATGAAAATCACAGAGCCATCCTGTGCGGGGGATGTGTGGGGGCAATAGCATATCTGTAAGCATTCATGGTGGAATTGTGTTGGGAAGTGTTATGTTCTTTGCAGAATGTTTTCGTCAATGGGCGAGAAGTGAGGGTCATGGTTGAAGCGGGATTGTCTATGGTGAATGTAGATTGTAAAGTAGGAAGTTGAGATAGAGTGTAATGAGTGCGAGGAGTTTTCTGGAGTCCCCGGCTCCCTGGTTTTGTTTAAAACTTTAGTGCTTGTCTTTATTCCTCTATCAGAAGTCCTTTACTAATAGTAAAGAATTACATATTAAGCAAAGTTCAAAAGGAAGGAAAATATTGTCTTCTTAAAATAAATCTACTAACAAAGGAAGTAAATAAATTATCTTGATTTGTTTCCTTAGTTTGCTGATTGCGTATCCCATGTGATCTCGACGACGGCGCTGGTATGACTTTCCAAAGAGAACGCATCAGGAAGACATTGAAGTTTAGGATCAGCGATGTTGTGTTTTGAGTTTGGTAACAAAAGTACTTAAGTTAGGGACCAAAGGTGCCACTTGGGTCAAAACTAAGGGGCCAAATGTAGATACGCCCAAAACTTAAGGACTAAATCATCACCACGTGTACAACTCAGAGATTAAAGGTGCTATATCACCTTTCTCTCTCTCATATAATTTATAAAAATCTGACCCAGGCAGAATGTATATGCCATGTAGTGCTATTGCTGAAATTATGTTTATTCTTTCATTCATATAATTGATAAAAATCTGGTCTAGGCTGAATGTATGTCTTCCAACAAATAATGTGTTATGTGGTACTATTGCTGAAATTCCGTTTATTTTCTTTCATATAATTTCTGTGAACCTGAATCTTATGCAGGGTGAATCAGTGGGTAGTTTTCTGCAGTCCCTAGGTCTTGAAAAATATGAAATTACATTTCAAGCTGAAGAAGTATGTAATTTTCTCACTCTCATTTCCAATGTAGTATCAAGCAGTTAGCTGTAGAAAATTAACCAAAACATTTGCTTCTTGCAGGTTGATATGGCTGCCCTTGTACACATGACAGATGAAGATCTCAAGGCAATGGGAATACCAATGGTAAAATTAGACTCGATATTTTGTGAATATTTTGCTTGCACCAGAGTTTTTTCTATTTTTAATGAATATTCTTAACAAGGACACCTGTGTAAAAGTAATCTAAGCTAGACTATTGAATGATGATCAGCCAATGGTTCCATAAAAAAGAACTGGAAATTTTGAACCACCACATTTATATTTAGATGTCTGACAAAATATGGGAGTACTTGGTTATACCATCTTGCTATAGTGGTTAGAATTTTATAAATTTTGAGAATCAGTGTGGAGTTGGTAGGGTAAGAAGTGAGAACTTGATAGATTTGCTAATACTGGTAAAATTTTACCTAACTATTTCCTTTGCAAAATTCAAAATGTGAAAATCTTTTTTTTCAGAATTATTCATACTGCCCAAATGTTTCTTTAAGCATGTTTTTCAGTCAAATCTTGACCACATGGAAGGATATTATTTGACTTTGGCCTTGTTTGGTAATATAGTTAGCGTATCAGTTAATTTTAGCTTATTTGACCACTATTAACTGTTTGACTTGGTTAAACAACCAATACAAGTGTTTGATTAATTAGCTTTTTGTAACAGCTTATTGCTCGTTTAAATTCAAAAAGCTACTCAAAGTAGCTTTTTCGATCAGTTTTTTGAGAAAGTCATTTTGCATGTTATCAGCTATAAGCTAACAACCAATTTACCAAACATCTTTCTACAATCAGTTAATGCTATCAACTAGTCAAACCCACTAACACAATCAGCTAACAACTATTTACCAAGCACCCTCCAAAACACACTACATCAATAAGGTGCACAACATTCAAGTTCACTTGTAAGACATTCTAGTGGCAGGCATCAGCATTCCTCACTGTAAAAATTGAACTTTCTATGTGCTCCAATGAACTGCTGCAAAATTTGATAATTCCGTTGTTTCAGGGTCCAAGGAAGAAGATACTTCTGGCATTGGAGTCTAAACGCTGAGAGTTGCAGTTAGTAAGTAACTAGGTTTACCGGGTTGTATGGTGCACCAGTTTTGTTTTCTGTAACTGTACAAGTACCTTTTCTGGGATCATTGGAAGTGGTCTCCATGAACAACCATTTTAGCAAGGATAACCTCATCAACTGGGAAATTTTTATTTATTTAGTCTATTTTTTTAGCATTTTGTCACTTTTATAGCTTTATTGTGTAAGCAGCAGGATGTTAAATGTTATTCGCTTACTGTGTACAATAGGCTCCATTTTGGCTATATAGTAAGTACCGGGTGAGGGGTTTTGGATTTGGTTCAGTTTTTTTTTTTTTTTTTTTTTTTTTTTTTTTTTTTTTTTTTTTTTTTTTTCGCTTTTGGTTTGGTATTTCAGTATTAAAAAAAAATGATATCATTCTATTTAACATTATAGTTTGGTTTGGTTTGGTTCGGTTTGAAAAAGTTTAGTTTCGGTTCGGAATTAGTTTGGTTTGGTTTAAGAACCCAAGTTTTTAACATTTCTTAAACATTATATAACAAAATAGCAATTCAAAATTTAACACACTTCAGTTAGCTCACATGAAATGTTTTATTGACAAGATGAATAATCATCTATTTGTATAGTTAATATTTGGAAAATGAGTGTAGTTAATTTTTGGACACAATCTGTCAAGCAAAATATATTTTCAGTGCACTGAAATATTATCTTCCAGTGTATTGAAAATTAAAATTAGAATGATGTTGAAGCACATTAATTTCATATAAACATGAAACAAAGAAAAAATATTGAATAACTCAAATTAGAGTCAATTGTGAGGCAAAGAACAATTGTGGCAAACAATAAGAATGCCAATTAAAAAACAAGCATAAAGAAATCATATTTAAAAGAGATACCAGTGAAAATAGACTGAAAAGCAGGCAACAAAGAATTTGGATTTACTTCTTTTATTATTATTATTATTATTATTATTATTATTATTTAAAAAAATGTATTTCGGTTTGATTTTTTACCGAACTGTTTGGTTTGATTCTTTCTTTTTTACCGAATTAGTTCGATTCGGTTCAGTTGAGAATATCGAACCGAATTGCCCACCTAAGGCTCTAATAAGGACGCCCTATGTTGTTCTGGGCAAATTATGCTCTGGACCCGTATCCACATTGAATTGTGGACACTGGCCCAAAACGACGTCGTTTTTTAAAAAAAACGCGTCATTTAGTTAAAAAAAAAAAAAAAAAAAAAAAAAATCGCGCGTGTTTTGCCGTTAACGGCGTTATTTTTTTTTTTTTGATTATGAATGTACAGTTATGCCGTTATGAATGTACAGTTATGCAATTATGAAATTATGAACACAGAGCTCTAACATTATGAACTTACAATTATGAACATATATAGTGACAAAATTATGACCATGGAGCTTTAAAATTGTGAATATAGAGCTTCGAAGATTATGAATGTACAGTTATAGAGTTATGAATCTACAGTTATGGAGTTATGAATCTACAATTATGAGATTATGAATCTACAGTTATGGAATTATGAATGTACAGTTATTGATCGAATTATGAACAAAGAGCTCTAACATTATGAACTTATAATTATGAACATATAGTGATAAAATTATGAACATAGAGCTCTAAAATTGTGAACATAGAGCTTCGAAAATTATGAATGTACAATTATGGAGTTATGAATGTACAATTATGAAGTTATGAATGTACAGTTATAGAGTTATGAATGTACAGTTATAGAGTTATGAACGTACAGTTATGGAGTTATGAATGTATAGTTATTAACATATAGTAATAAAATTATGAACATATACTTCTATAACAAAGTGATCTGAAATTTAAAAAAAAAAAAAAAAAAAAAAAAAAAAAAAAAAAAAAAAAAAAAAGAGATAACAGTGCCTAACGGCACTGTTACCCGTGTCCAGCAAGCATGCTGGACACGGGTCCAAGGCATAACGATTGGTTGTTCTGCACCTTGATTTTGTAAACAAAAATTGGGGTATTCTTTCCGTTCCCATTCAAGACAAGATTCTTGACTTGGATAAACTTATACAGAGTAATAGAGTTGAACATGAACAAAAGTGGATAATTGAACATATTACAATTTTTTTATTTTTTTTGCATCGAACATATTACAAAATTTAATTGAGACTCTTTTATACGGAGTAGCTTTTTATCTGAGACAGGCGGATTGGGTCATGATAAAAATATGTTGAAAAATGTAACATTAATCATGAATAAATTATTTATTACTTATAAGAAAAATTGTAATACTGTTTACTATTCCATTAGTTTTTTTGGGTATACCCAAAGTTTCCAGTCGAACACAGGGACTAATCCCCTCGCTGAATTGTAGGCACCTCTTTTGGGTGGGACAGCTGGGCTACCTTTGATTAAAGATGGATGAATCTCTTCCACTCAACCACACCCTCCAGGTTGTTTACTATTCATTAGTTAAATCAACTCTTTCTTTTTTCTTTAGTAATTTTTAATTATTTTTAAATGTTTAATAATTCTTTTAATATAATTTCTAAATATGGAGTATAAAAATTTTATATATTAATAGTAAACTTAATATTATAAAAAATAAATTTAAAAATAACTTTAGTCAAGCCTTGTTAACTGAATCAAATCATTGATAATTATTTAATTGTTACTTATGAGAAAAAGTGTAAGATTTATGACGAAAAATGTGATACTTTTAAGAAAAATGTAATACTTTTAAATCAAAATAAAATATTAGGAGTGGAAAAATTATTTATGAAGAAAATTGTAATACTTATGAACAAAAGTGGATAATTGAACATATTACAAAATTTAATTGACAGGTAAAAATATATTTTAGCAACAACCAAATCAATTTCACTGAAGTATTGGGTAATTAATAGTCTTGAGATCCATCCTACTAGTTTTAACATAATATTAAACTATAGACACTTAAATTCACATTTGGCATCATCCTGCATCCGGTCATGTTCTAAACTGCTTATACTAAAAGTTCATATTTAAATAATATACCAAAACCTTAAAAAGAAAGTATACCAAAAAATGAATATTCAGTATATTAAAAATAAATATTCAATATACTAAAAATGAAACATTTTTTTTTGAATGCTATTGACTCTATTAGATTGTAGTATCTGTTCAAACATACTTTCTCAACTTAATGAAGCACAAAGAGTCAACGCCGCCTCCACTGAGGCTTGATCCCATGACCTCCCATATGGAAGAAGTCACTACATGCAAGCACAAAAATGAAACTTTAATCATACTAAAATTGAACTTTATGTCAATGATCCACCTTACAAGGTGGAACATGGTATAATGATTGCTCTTCTCTTGTACACAAAAAGAAATTCCTAAAATGCTTCCAAATTCATGACTATCTGTGCACATCAAAACCATGCTTCCAAATCCAAACCTACTAAACTCAACCAAAGAACTTGAGTGTATCAAGAGACAAACTGTTCATTTGACACGCAACTATAAGTTATTTATCTTCAAATTAGTTTAGATAGTTTAATTAGTTAGAAACTATCAAATAATTAACCATTCTTAGTTTAGGAACAATAGACAAGCCAAAATTTAAGCTAAAAAAGGAGTCTATGGGAGTTTTGGGTCTAGGCAAACTCAGCGTTTTCTTCTTTTCCTTTTCCAATTACCTGTTCTTTTATGTTGTCTTGCCCGTGACGTGAGCACATAACATACATCAGCAGCTGAAAATTAGCCTATGATTTTTGACATGCTAGTTAACTTTGGCTTTCCATGCCAGGTACTTTTTGTTTTCTTGTTTGCATCTTTTCCATTCTCTTAGAACAGCAAGAATCACGTGCAGAGCAACTGGGAGAAAGAAGGGCTGCAGAAATTGAATAGGAGAAGGAGAGAGTAAGACAAGTGCTCTAGATTTTGGGTGTTTGGGAGAATAAGTCAGTCATATGTCAGCAACTTACCGAATAGACAGCAAAGCAGTGCTCGAATGAGTAGTAACTCACTGACATCATAGATGGATGATAAAAGGCATCTTCTGCCAAGGATCTTGCTTGTCTTGACGACACTGATCGCAAACAGAGTAAACTAAGAAATTTGCAAATCAAAGTGCCAGAGGAGGAGATTAGTGAAAGCTAAAAGGCAAAATAAACATACCAGCTGAACCATCATAATTGCCAATTGATGCATTGCTTAGAGATGACTTTGCAGCGTCAAGAGAGAACTTCACCTGCACATAATTAATATTAATACTATATAAATAATAAAAGCATACATTTCAACCAGTTCTGCAATATCTAAAATAGTATCCCCTTTCTCATAAAAGAAAGTTTCTTTTAACCAGCTTGGTTGGCGTGAGTGGTTCTGTACTCTCATCCCTTAAGAGAGTTCGGGAGTTCAAAACCCCCTCTCGTATGGAAAAACCAATATGGCCAGCACTTTGATCCTTAATTGGGCCAGCCCGGTGCAAACAGGAATTAGTAAATATGGTACGAGCTTAATGGTGCCTCCTATAGTTAGGGCCTACTCAAGACACCTCGTGGTCTAACCCAAAAAAAAAAAAAAAGGCTTCTTTTTATGTGACAGAAGGTAAGGTGCAAATGAGGTCAAACATATATCATGATCAATATGTCATGATCCCCGGCACAAATCCTTCATGACCACCTCATGAAGTCATGATGTGGCATGTTTCGATTTGTTAATTGGGATATTTATATAGAAATGATGTCATATAAATTAGATATAGAAGAGGTTCATATAACATTGCCAAAAGCCAATTGTAGGTAACTGAAGTTAACAAATCTCTACCAACACAGAGCAGGTGCAAAGGGTTCAAATATGATGGCTCACCAGCAGGAATATAAAGGAGACAAAAATATAATGGAATCACTAACCTGCTTCCCTATCTCATCCATAATTATCATCCTAGGAAGTGATTGAACCTGAATGAGAAATTTTTCAGGATCTAGACATATAAGTAAAGGACAAAGGATGGGGCAGCTAATGACGTACCAACCGACTAAGTGATCCAAGAGTGGTACCACATTGAAGAAGATTGAAGCATGTATGTTGTCGTGATATGAAATCCAATTCCCTTAAAAAAAAACAAAAAAAAAAACAAAAGTCTTTGAATTATCATTAGCAAATAGCTTGCAACAATGTAACACAACAAGAAGTTATCCCCTTTTTCCTCACAAGTGTGCCAAGATGTTACTTAAGAAGACAAGGGAAGTAGTTAGTTATGCTATTCTGGGTAAACATAAAAA